GCCCCTGATACTTCAAACCAACCAGAGTTAACCAATCAGATGATTTTATTTTTATCTTTGTTTTGTTCACGTCACTATAGAAGAAACCAGTATCAGATACTCTCAAGTTCGAATAGAAGACCTTAATAAAATCTTCAAAGAAATCACATTTGAGAGCCACAAAATGCTGCAAACCTTAATATTCTATATGGTGGTGAAAATACAGCCCTGATGTGGCAAAGTAGCTAAAGTCCATAACCTTTGGATGAAGGACTATCATGTGATAAAACTCCTTGCCATATTTAATCATCTGATCATGCTGGTTAAAAAAACGTGTCTGATTTAGAACTTGTTCAATTTGTGGTAGTTTGGGACCAGTTGCTCTGTCCGAGGTGGCAGGAGTTTTTCCTTTTGTTTCCTTTGAACTTCTTTTTCTTGAACCGGATGTCATACCTAAAAATTATATATAAAATAACCAATAACAAATATGATGTTAAACATAAGACATATTCCATAAAACATAATTGCAAGTAATAACATTAAAATATGTCTTTCACCATTAATAAATACTTTTATAACATTATGGTCAAGTTTACAATGTTTAAACCATTAGCAAAACATTACATACGATGCATAAAAAAATACAATAACTACGAATGACAAATCAACCACTTTCACCCATGAACTTTAACAATTGGTTGAGGCGGAGATGTGGGGTAAGCCAAAAAGTCGCCTAACATGTGATGGATTATTACATAAAAAATCATAACACCGAACCATAACTTGCTCGCATTGCAGGTTTATAGCGACTAACATGTCCCAAATATTTGATTCAGAATATTGAACTGTTGATGTTCGCCTCAAGATATTAACTTGCTCATTAATTATTTCGTTTATTCATTCAATGGCGATCACTTGTCATTCAACAATATCAGATAATCTTTGGGTCAACGCATTACCTTAACCAAGGTAATATGTAAATGCATCGAGCCTCGTAGTTAGCCTGTCAAATTGTGCATCCATCACATCAATCATTGTGACTTTTCTTTTTGTGCCTCGAGATGACGAAGTTCCAGTAGTACCACCAGATGGCACTGAATGAGTACCATCACCAGGACTACAAGAACCAATGTGTGTTGGCGACCGGTATGCTGTATCAAACCCTACCTGAAAAGGGTCATCCTGTGGTATGTCATCCACATCATCGTTCAAGTCAACCGTTACACTTGGCATACCAATATTTCTACGGGCTTGTCGCGCAGTCCTAGCCATATGGCCTGTCACCCGATCAACTCCCCATAATTCTTACATCAAGTCATAGTACCTAATGGAAGACACTCTCCATTTAGCTGTAGTATGCTTCGCCTACAAATAAAAACCATGATTAACACTCATAATTGCTATGTTTCACTAATTCAATAAATCACAAATGTTAAAAAATTACCTGCAGCAGATCATCTCATACTTCAGGCTCAGTTGTAAACCATTTCGTGGACTCATCCCACGCAAATCCACTAAACAAGTCGTGAACCTCCTGCCATCTATCCTTCAAACTTTTTTGTCTATTTTTAACATTATTTTTCGTGATACCAGTTAATCCAATCTGTCAGAGGGCTTCAACAATATTATTGTATGCTTGGGTTGTCCAACTACCATCAATTGCCCAAGCATACAATAATATTGTTGAAGCCCTCCGACAGACTGGATTAACTGGTATCACGAAAAATAATGTTAAAAATAGACAAAAAAGTCTGAAGGATAGATGGCGAGAGGTTCACGACTTGTTTAGTGGACTTAGTGGATTTGCGTGGGATGAGTCTACGAAACGGTTTATAGCTGAGCCTGAAGTATGGGATGACCTGCTGCACGAAATGTTTTAACATTTGTGAATTATTGAATTAGTGAAACATAGCAATTATGGGTGTTAATCATGGTTTCTATTTGCAGGCGAAGCCTGCTGCAGCTAAATAGAGAGTGTCTTCCATTAAGTACTATGACTTGATGGAAGAATTATAGGGAGTTGATCGGGTGACAGGTCATATGGCTAGGACTGCGCGACAAGCCCGTAGAAATATCGGTATGCCAAGTGTAATGGTCGACTTGAACGATGATGTGAATGACATACCACAGGACGACCCTTTTCAGGCAGGGTTTGATACAGCATACCGGTCGCCACCACACATTGGTTCTTGTAGTCCTGGTGATGGTACTCAGTCAGTGCCATCTGCTGCATCTGGTGGTACTACTGGAACATCGTCATCTCGAGGCACAAAAAGAAAAGGCCCAATGATTGATGTGATGGATGCACAATTTGACAAGCTAACTACGAGGCTCGATGCATTTACAGATTACCTTGGTCAAGGTAATGCGTTGACTCAAAGATTATCTTATATTGTTGAACGACAAGTGGTCGCCATTGAATGAAGAAACGAAATAATTAATAAGCAAATTAATATCTTGAGGCGAACATCAACAGTTCAATATCCTGAATCAAATATTTGGGACATGTTAGTTGCTATGAACCTGCAAGGCGAGCAAGTTATGGTTCAGTGTTATGATTTTTTGTGTAATAATTCATCACATGTTAGGCGACTTTTTGGCTTACCCCCACATCTCCGCCTCAACCAATTGTTAAAGTTCATGAGTGAAAGTGGTTGATTTGTCATTCGTAGTTATTGTATTTTTTTATGCATTGTATGTAATGTTTTGCTAATGGTTTAAACATTGTAAACTTGACCATAATGTTATAAAAGTATTTATTAATGGTGAAAGGCACATTTTAATGTTATTACTTGCAATTATGTTTTATGGAATATGTCTTATGTTTGACATCATATTTGTTATTGGTTATTTTATATATAATTTTCAGGTATGGCATCCAGTTCAAGAAAAAGAAGTTCAAAAGAAACAAAAGAAAAAACTTCTGCCACCTCAGACAGAGCAACTGGTCCTAGACTATCACAAATTGAACAAGTTCTAAATCAGACACGTTTTTTTAGCTAGCCTCATCAGATGATTAAATATGACAAGGAGTTTTACCACAAGATAGTCCTTCATCCAAAGGTTATGGACTTTAGTTACTTTGCCACATCAAGGCTGTATTTTCACCATCATATAGAATATCAAGGTTTGCAGCATTTTGTGGCTCTCAAATGTGATTTCTTTGAAGATCTTATTAAGGTCTTCTATTCGAACTTGAGAGTATCTAAAGCTGGTTTCCTCTATAGTGACGTGAACAAAACAAAGATAAAAATAAAACCATCTAATTGGTTAACTCTAGCTGGTTTGAAGTATCATGGGCAAAAATTACCATTTCCAGACATCCCAGAGGAAATGCAGTTCGACCGTGACATAGCATTGACATCTATGATTAGACCAGAGCTGCAGGGCCAAAATGTCATAAATGTAGGAAGTCTTAACATTAACGACAGACTCCTACATTATGTCTACGTCCATATATTGGCTCCCCGATCAAGTAACTTTTCCCAACTCTTGCAGGAAGACATTTTTGTGTTATGGGCCTTAAAGAATAACATTTTGATCAACTGGTCCCATTATATCATGCAACACATGGTCAAATGCAAGGACAATGGGATGTCTCTTCCATACCCCATTTTAAATTCACGCATTTTGGTTGTTTCTGGCATAGACTTATCAATTGATGTTGCAGTCGAATTAGGGTAGCCACATTTTTTTACTAAAAAAACCTTGAAAAAATTAAATGTCATGAATGTCAACGGTGTTTAGTTACATGGCAGGGATAATCATGATCATGGCCAAAATGTTGAAGATGAAGACCATGCAATGCCTGAGGACCATGCTGACGAGCAGCCTGCCGACATCACACAACAACCCCCAGTCCAGTATGATGGTCAAATGCTTTCCCAAATATGGACTGACATTCAAGGGTTACAAGAAGGATTAAATAATTTGACTATCAATGTTAATAGAGGTTTTAGATCGAGTACATAACAGGCTTGATGATCTCGAACAAAAATTTGATGACTTTCGGCATTCATTTGAATAAACTACGTTATCTTATTTTCTTTTTTATTATTGTAATTTAAATATGTTTTATTTAGTTACAACATTTTTCATTTCTATTATTTTATGTCATTTAATTATTGTTTACTTAATTGATGACTGAATTGTATTTTCTGTTTCATTTTACAAATATATTATTACCCATCTACTTTGTAATGTTAAAAATTTCTTAATTTTTTAATTAGTAAAAATTAACTTGTACAGTTAACAAATGTATCTTCATTTCATTCTAATTTATGTCAATGATTTATCAATTTTTTAATTTATTAATTAACTTTCAAAAAATTTATTGTACATTTTTTTTATATTAAAAAATTCTATTATTTGAATATTGACATCAAAAAGTGGAAATATTAAAAAAATAAAGTAATACATGTTTATAAAATTAAAATAATAACACTATCATAAACATTAATAAAATAATAGAAAATATAATTATCATAATATATTTTATTATTATTATTTATTATTATAAATATTATTATTATTATCATTATTATTAATATTATTATTATTTATTATAATTAGTATCATTATTATTTATTATGATTCTTATTATTTTTCTAATATTTATTATTATTATTATCATTATTTATTATTTTTTTAATAAATTATACCTATTAATATAATTTTATTGTAATTATTATTATTTACAATAAATAATATTCTACTCATTTTTAATCCAAGGGTAAAAGTGTAAATTATATATTCATCTATTAAATTTTTAATTTTTATCTATCACATCAATCAATTTCTACACAAATTCTCACAAACTTTCCACTCACTTTCCACTATCTTTCCCTTAATCCAAACAATCTCACTTTCCACTCTCTTTCTCTTTAAATCTTTCGTTTTCCACTCCCCCAAATTCATCCTTCAATTCAAACACAACCTTAAAGAGAGAATTTTGTCATCCATAGTCTACACAAAAAAAAAGACAATAAAGAAATAAGGAGTTTCTAAATAAACAATGCAACTTGAGTGAAAATTTTCACGTAAAACCTTCACAATGATTTTCATTTACCTCTTTTTCATGTGTTTATTTTTTAAAAAACAAATTGACAGGAACAATATCACCTTGACAAGGGTTGCTTTAAAGTTTAAACTCAATGTGTTGACATGACTACCTCTATCTTGGTATCTTGTCTTGAAGTATTGATCACTTGGTCCTGAAAACTCTAAAACAATGCCAGTAAGCCTAAACTCTCAAGTTATTAGGTGGAGGCATGTGAATGTCTATTATATCTCTAAACAGATTCTACTCACAAAATCAATCAATCAATCAGCAATTAAAGACATTCATAAATCATAAGAGCATCTGCAATGGGAGTTGCTTATAAGCAACCCCCATTGCAGATGCTCTAAGTAGTTCACTCACACCAAACGGTGCATAGCAGGTACCCCTGTACTAATAAAACTACCGAAAACATCTCAAGCTTACTTGAAGAGAGGTTGCAATTATAAAATAGTAATGTTAATATCAGAAAAGATATCTAAACACCCTGTGCCCACCCATATGGAAATGCTAATATCAGAAAAGAATTTCATCATTAGATGAATAACAAATTGTAATGTTCCACTTGCTCATAATTTACAAAGATTTTAACCTGAAATAGATCCACCCTGGTCACATAAAAACAATTTTTTTGATTGTTTCCTTTCCTTTGCCAAAGGCACAAACTTATATTTCAAAAAACACATTGCTATAAAATTAAGATAGACCCCAAAATAAAAGTCATCAAAACATGTTGGATGACCATAAAGAGTTATAATAAATTATGAGCCAGTGAAAAGAAACCTCAATGTCAATAACGTGAGTTATCAAACACCCATGGCTCATGCTTAAACAGCTCCCGTCCATTCATTTGGACTGTTCCTGCTGCAATATCCTCTTCCCGTTTCCTAGATACTTCAGCTTTCATGGCTGATACAACAGCATCCTGAAAAATTACACATTTAGAATCTGTAAAAGATTAAAAGTGCTTCAATCTTTTTGGCTGAGACCTTCGCTGGGCAATTCAATAAATTGATTGCAATATTATACCCAGCAACAAATGACTAGGCCATTCAATCAATCAAAATTCTGATTTCAACTTGAAGAAATTATTTTCAAGCAAGTAAATTCACCCCAAAAAAAACATTCCTCTAGAAAAAATACATAACCACGACTCGTTAAATTATTGGATAATAATATAAAATTTCATAAATTTCGGAATCGCTTGAGTTAAAACTATTGCACAATCTTATAACAACCAAACAAATGTTTTAAAAAAATACAAAATACAAAAATTCAACAAACAGAGAAAGAAAGAAAAACCCTAATTATGGAATTGGGAAAGTGAGAGATAAAGAGACCTTGTGGCGCTTCCATGAGAGGAATTGTTCCTGTGTGAGTGCGAGACTAGGCTTTGGCTTCTCTTGTGCGTGCTTTTCCTGTGACTCACTTTCCGCTCCCATCGTTTCGTTACCGACCAAACAAACCTACACGGGACGGCCCTCAACGATGTGTCGTTTCACCGTTTTAACGTAAAATAGGATTATATTCTTTTCCCGATAAATTTGACTTTTTATCACTTCTTTAAATAAAAAAATACTTTTTAATTCTCATTTTTTTCATTAATAATAAAGTTATTGTCTTTAAATTAATTAGGATTTAAATGTTTTTTATTTATATTTTTACTTACTTTACCTTTTATTTTTTATAATTTAAAATATATATTTTAAATTTTTATAATTATATTTTTTATTTATTTTTTAGTTCCTATAACTTTTAAATTTTTATAATTATATTTTTTATTTATTTTTTAGTTCCTATAACTTTACAAATCCTTTTAGTCCTATAGTTGTAATTTTGTAATTTTTTAGTCTTTATTGTTAATTTATTTCAATATTGTTTGTTTTGTATTGACATAATAAAGATCTTTAATTTTGTGAAAATAAAAATAAAGATATTTCAACAATGAACATTGTTAGTTAAGATATAAAAGAGATAAAACATTCAAAAACTTAATTTAGAGTAACTCTAACAAAATAAACTTAATATCAAATATAAAAAATTAAATCAATACTTCTGTCATATCAACATAAAAGAGATAATGTTATAAAAATTAACGATAAAGACTAAAATAATTTTAAAAAAATTTCAGTATAGAGACTAAAAAATTTATTATAGGGATTAAAAATGATTGAAAAAAATAAGTATGAGAACTAAAAAAAATATACTTTAAATAATAAATACTAAAAGATAAAATAAGTGAAATTATAAAAATTAAAAAAGTATTTTAACCATTAATTAATAACCTAGATTTTTTTTAAGCTTAATCACATATTTATCTCTCAAATTTCGAGAATTCTACAAATTTTGTTGCATATTTTCTCCCCATCTTTTGTGATTTTGCAAACTTTGTCATGTAACATGGGTATACAATTTCAATCTTCGAGTTCCATAAGTTAGATTTTTTAAATATCATAATTATATAATTTTAGTTTTTTCATTAGTTTTTATTAAGTATTTAACAAATTTTGCTAATGACAACAAAGTTTTTCCTTTTCTATGAGGGAAGTACGTACTAATTTAGTTTAGACTTAAAAATCTGTAATCATGATTGAAAATTAGTTAGCATTTGTTCATTCTCTGTTATGTGGAGATTTTTAATTTGTAACCTAATCCTTGTAGATGTTTTTGCTGACTAATTAATAAAATTTCTTTTTTTCCATAAAAAAAAGTCAATAGTACTTAAAACATATACTAACATGGTTTAATTACACTTTCGTCCATCAAAATTGTGGTCTCCAAGGGTCAAAAGTTACTTAAGTTTAAATTGTATGTGTTAAACAATACATTAACTAACACATCATCAATATGTCATTATTTAACATCACATTAATAAAAATTGTTAAATTTTTAATAAAAGATTAATAAATTGAATAATTTTGCTCAATTATGATATTTAAAAAATTTCAAGTTTATAATTAAAACTTCGGTGATCAAAATTATATCTCACAATAATAATACTTTAAAAATTGAAATTACAGTTAATTTAACTTTTACTACAACAAAATTTGTTATTAATGGCAATTATTTAATGACAATAATTTAATTGTCTCCATATGTAAAAATATTAATGACTGTATTTATATTGCACTAAAATTTATTATTAGCGACAATTATTTATTAAAAAAAATTTAAGTCCCGGAGATAAGATAATTAAATAGTATATAAGTGAGTAATAATTAGCCGAAGGCAACCTAGAAACTAAGGGAGAGTTGGTGTTTAGGGTGGTGGTGGTCACGCTCAAAGGGGAGGAAGGTGTTTGGTGGGGTGTTGCTCCTTTTGGCTAGCTCACTTCACTAAGGTAGGTGAAGGCCAACCAAGGAAGGCCAAGCTCAACTCACTCATGGTGGTTTAGCTAACTTGTGCGTCATCCACACCAGATACAATTCTAGCTTCTTTTAGCCTATTGAACATCTCCAAGATTTTCATTCTCCTTACCCAACTCTTGCTTAGCCAGTTTGTATTTACCTCTTTTGTTGTGAAGGTTGGACCGTCCCAATCCTTATACTTCCTGGAATGCACCTGTCAAAGACCAAATTAGTTTATCAACACACTTCGTCCATTATTTTTTTTATTTATAAAAAATATGAATATGAAGTTTAATTTAATTGATGAAATTTACTTAAAAATGTTTAAATTTTGTTCTTATTTTAAAAACTTACATAATTAACATTATATTTTTATAGATTAATTTAATGATCTATTTTAAAATATAAAAGCCAAACTATTTTTTGATAATGTTAATTAAATTTTTTTATCATTAGTTCCACTTTATAATTTGCACACACATTGATAATCATTTTTATGACATTAGTGATGAACTTGAACAATATTTCACTTTTTTGTTTTAAGCACGTAGAATATTGTTAATGTTACGAAGCTTAATTAACGAACTAACGATTTACATATATTGTTGTTAATGTTACGACGTTTAATTAACAATCTAATTATTTATAGATATAGAAGGATATTTTCTTATTGTATAATTTTTTCCACCTTACTACATATTTGTCTTTATTATATCAGCCTTAATGTATTTGATTCATATATGTGATAATGCATTGTTTAATTAACGTATATGACTACTTTATTTTTATTACTTAATTCGTTTTCGTTGTGAAATTTCCGTAGTATTTACAAATCTATAAAAATATTTTGCTTTTATTACTTATTTCATTTTTGTTAATTCTAAATGCTGTACATTTATATCATACATTTGTAGATGAGATAGAACATTACTTTTAAGTTTTAATGGTGGTACTGAGAATCAGAATGTAAGACAACTTTGCACTCTAATTATAATTTACATAAATATTAAATTAATAATTACTTCAAAGGTCCTGTATCACGCTTTGAACTTTTTATATCGAGAATGTATCACCCTTACTTTTAACACCTTATCAGAACGAGAAATTATTACGAACGTGATTCGATATAACCTCGTACTTATGATGGTAACCAATTGCATCCCACAAGACTCGGTATCTAAAATGGGTGGATGGAAGATGGAAATGGCAGTTGAGGTGGAGAAGGAACAGATTCGAATGAGAGGTCTCACAAGAGCATCAACTACCTCAAGCGATTGAGAATACCAACTTTCAAAGAGATTAGGTGGACTCATGGAGTTGGGAATGCGAACCTTTTGGCATGTTCCCAGTCAAATCAGCCTATACAACTATATATGATAGTTCATTGTTGGTTGGTGGGTGAAACTGATGTTCCCTACTTCTTTTGGTCTATCCCTGCTCCACCGAAGGTTCATTATTTCATGTGGAGATTGGTTAACTCTGACATCCTAATCGTTGATAATCTAATTAGAAGAAACATAACACTTAAGCCTCAACAAACTTTATGCCCGTTTTGTAAGTCTGATACGGAAACGGTTTCTCACATTTTCTGCACATGCCCTTGTTTGTGGGGGATTTCGTTCGTAGGTTCTTTTTGTTCGAACTAGCACGAGTTCACGTTTCAATTTGTGGTGTTCGTGACATGACAGAATCGAAGACTTTCAGCGAAAGAAAATAAAATCGTATAAGCAGCGAATAAAGTTAATTTAGGGTGTTGTTTCAGCACGTCAGAAGATCTATGCTCAGTGTTTCGAGCACTTCAGAAGATCTATGCTGGTTTGGCACATCAGAAGATCTATGTTCATTATTTCGAGCACGTCAGAAGATCTATGCCAGTTTTAGCACTTCAGGAGATCTATGCTTGTTTCAGCACATCAGAAGATCTATGCTAATTGTACAATCAATTTCATGCATATAATAATTAACGTGAATCGAACAGATGACATGTATATTGACTGCAGAAATCATATCCTTCATTAAATGGTAGCAAAATTACAATTCGTAAGGATAACGAAACATGTTTAGAGTGACTATACTACACTAGACTAGATTATGCTATGCTACGCTATGCTACGCTACTCCTAAAAAAGGAAAAGAAAAGTGGTCGAGAAATCATACCCAAAGCTGTCTCGTATGCACGTTGTGCCTTGTGCACCGGCGAGGAGTGCGTGTGAGAATTGTGGGAATTAGATTTCTGACCCCTACTACGAGCAAGGCTCATTTAATTTATAGACAAATAGACAAAGATTCAGGTAAGTTATTTCTGACGTGCCCCGGAAGTGCATAACCGTTCTAAACTTCCACATCGTGGCTTATTCCCGGGCACATCTTTGGATGATTCATGGAACTGCTCACTAACTTCCCTAAACCGTTCTGCAGCCTTTGACACTTATCCCATGCTACTTCGACCACTCTTAGATCGTGTCTCCATTAAGTTCTTCATTCTGAGAGGTTACGAAGTGTATTCGTCTATGTCCGGATTCTTGGGATTTCGAGTAACCAACGAAAAATTTCCGTAGTATTTACAAATCTATAAAAATATTTTGCTTTTATTACTTATTTCATTTTTGTTAATTCTAAATGCTGTACATTTATATCATACATTTGTAGATGAGATAGAACATTACTTTTAAGTTTTAATGGTGGTACTGAGAATCAGAATGTAAGACAACTTTGCACTCTAATTATAATTTACATAAATATTAAATTAATAATTACTTCAAAGGTCCTGTATCACGCTTTGAACTTTTTATATCGAGAATGTATCACCCTTACTTTTAACACCTTATCAGAACGAGAAATTATTACGAACGTGATTCGATATAACCTCGTACTTATGATGGTAACCAATTGCATCCCACAAGACTCGGTATCTAAAATGGGTGGATGGAAGATGGAAATGGCAGTTGAGGTGGAGAAGGAACAGATTCGAATGAGAGGTCTCACAAGAGCATCAACTACCTCAAGCGATTGAGAATACCAACTTTCAAAGAGATTAGGTGGACTCATGGAGTTGGGAATGCGAACCTTTTGGCATGTTCCCAGTCAAATCAGCCTATACAACTATATATGATAGTTCATTGTTGGTTGGTGGGTGAAACTGATGTTCCCTACTTCTTTTG